CTACTTTTCTGTGGTAATGCAAGCATTAGTGGATCACTGGGGACACTTCACCAGCATCAGTGTGGGCTGATCAGAGAACATGCATGACGTACGCATCTTTAAGAACACAGGTTCTGGTCAGAAAGCTGCAAGCAGAGACTTTCTTTCCAGACTGGTGGATTATCATTGGGGATGTTGAAATGCCAATAGTGATTTTGGGAGACCCAACCTACCCATTACTCCCATGGCTCAGGAAGCTGTAAACCAGCTGCTTCAACAGTACCAAGGAGTGCTTCAGTTACAGGCTCAGCGGATGCAGAATGACAGTTGAATGTACCTTTGGCTGTTTGAAAGGTTGCTGGTGATGTTTACTCACAAGACTGAAACTCAGTGAAAAAAAATCCCAATAGTTATAGCTACCTTCTGTGTCCTGCATAATATCTGTGAAGCAAAGGGGGGAACATTTCTGCTGCAGGGGAGGAGACGTGAAGGTAGAATGGCTATCTCCTGATTTTGGGCAGCTAGATATCAGAGCAGTAAGAAGAGCTCAAGCTAGAGCTATTCGGTGCACAGAGGCTTTGGCTATGTCTACACTACCGCGGTACGCAACTCCAGCTACGTATCTTTGGTTGAGTTACCACGGGGTCTACACGCGGGGGGTCAATGGGAGATTTTTCTCCCCTTGACTTACCTTACCTTGCTCTTCCAGTCAGGGGTACAGTACAGGGCTTGACTGGAGAGCGATCTGCAGTCAATTTGACGGTCTTTACTGGACCCACTAAATCAACCACCCGTGAATCGATATCGGAGCGTTGATCCCCACAGTAGTGTCAACCTGCCCTTTGAAAGACCATTTCCTTAATGAGCTCCAGTAACGTGTGCTGCTGTAGTGCGCTCTGCGTGGCATTGCTCTTTTGCACCCTGGTATGAACCTTGTAATGAGTGCTGTGTGTCTGTGTAGTCATATACCCTTGTCAATGCCCCTATTACTATTGTCTGTGAATGATGTCAGCCCTACCCAGCATATGTTGTGAACTAATAAAGATGAATTAAGTTTCCAAAAATAGACTTATTCCTTTATTCCATACCCGTGCAGACAGACATATTTATAGCTGAATAAAACTTACTAACCCGTTTCCTATTATTTATTGATAACTAGCGAGCTAAGATAAATGTCGAACAGTTGAGGCCATTTTAGGCATGATCAGAACTTTGGTTTAATCCTTAAGTCTGCTCAAAAAAGTTGATAGAATATGTCAGCCTTAAGAACAGACTTGGGCATAAGTGAGCCAAATTTGGGGGGGTTCCTGAGATATAGCCTATCCCATCTGTGATACAACAAATTGCAAGGCATGCAGATTTTAGAGAATTTAGAAGAGTTTACCTTTAGACAGAAAGTTCTTACCTCATGAATAATTACAGTGGGGCTATATGACAGGTTTCAGAGTAGCAGCCGTGTTAGTCTGTATTTGCAAAAAGAAAAGGAGTACTTGTGGCACCTTAGAGACTAACCAATTTATTTGAGCATAAGCTTTTGTGAGCTACAGCTCACTTCATCGGATGCATTCAGTGGAAAATACAGTGAGGAGATTGATATACACACAGAACATGAAAAAATGGGTGTTACCATACACACTATAAGGAGAGTGATCACTTAAGATGAGCTATTACCGGCAGGAGAGCGGGGGGGAGAAAACCTTTTGTAATGATAATCAAGGTAACTTTACATGTGGAATCCAGTTTGAACTATCTGAGTTGAATCATTTATTAGAAGGGTTCTAATTATATTAAACAATTTAATAAATTTTTGTATGAATATATTACATGGATTGAGGAATAGGATTAGTTTCTGCTGTCCAAACTTAAATGAGATTGCAAAATAAATATGGAAAATAATTTCCCCCAAAATATTTAGCAGAACAAAGAAAATAATGTTAGCACTAGTTGTTTTAAATAAGACTAAGATTTTGTCACGGATACTTTTTAGTAAAAGTCATGGACAGGTCATGGGCAAAAAAAGAAAAAATTAATGGAAGCCGTGACCTATTACTAAAAAGATCCATGACAAAATGGGGATCTATGGGTCTCCATACCACCTGCAACAGGCAGGTGTGCAGGGGCTAGGAGCTGCCTGTAGCAGGCAGCTGCGCAAGGGCTAGAAGCCGCTCGCAGCTCTGGGGGGCCCCATCCCCCGTGCAGCCAGGAGCTGTAGGGTTCCCCCACTGCCCCAGGAGCTTGGGGGGTACCCTGCGGCAGCCAGGAGCTGTGGGGTACCCCACTACACGCAGCGGCTTGGAGTTCTGGGGCCAGTTCTGGGGCAGGGGTACCCTATAGCTCCTTTGTGACTAACTAGTAGCCTTAGTTATAAATAAATATGAGCTATATCCTTTAGATATTGTTCTAATATAACTGTGTGCATGAGAGGTGCTACTAGAAGAGGATCGCTTCGGAATAGGGATTAAAAAATCAGTCTTTTCTATAATGTAATGTATAATGTAATGTTCTATATTATTTGCTGGGTTTTTCTCAAATGTCTCACCACTTATCATGCTTGTAAACTTTGCTTTGACAACAAACTAGATAAGAATCTAAAATTGATTATTTCTTCCTAGATATTGAAGCACAGATTCGAGAAATTCAAGGAAAAAAGGCTGCCCTTGATGAAGCTCAGGGAGTAGGCCTTGATTCCACAGGATACTATGATCAAGAGATTTATGGTGGCAGTGACAGCAGGTTTGCTGGATATGTGACTTCTATTGCAGCAACTGAATTAGAAGATGTAAGTGAAACATATTCTTTGATTTAGGGAAAGCAGTCAAAATAATTCAGATCTTACTTTCGTTTCTCTGAGTATTTTTTAAATTCGTAAAATAAAAAAACTAGCAGATTATTTACAGATGGACTATTTAAAACTAAAAATTTCAAACTATGTACAATTAAAAAAATTAATTTACATAGGTTCTAAAAGTAAAAAGAGAGAAAAGAAAAGGGATTGTCTTTTTGCTCGTATTTAACTCCTCTCCTCAATAATGTCCTTAAATAAGACTGTCAAAATATTAATTCCCAATGTTTACAAAGTTTAGGCAAATATTTTAAGTCTTAACCAAAATTCTAGTTGTGTGAATAGTCACAAAATACTCATTAACTCCTCTGACTGTAAAGAAATAGACCATAAAGTTGAATAACTCAGGTATACTCTTTAAAAGAGTATATGATGTAGAGGGAAGAGTAAACAAAACAAAAATTAAGCTGATACTTATAATTCAAAAGTTGGTTACATAGTCGATATTTTGATAGTTGCTTGCTTGTTTTTTTGTCAAGTGCTATTAGTTGTCATTAGAAGAGGTCAAAGGCTGCATTTAAAACACAGACCTCCTAATGAAGGGGATAAAGTCAATTTAATAACTGTTTTGCATATATTTCTGTTCAAATGGCTTACTTTTAATAGTTATCTAATAGTATTATTAAAACTGGCAACTGAACTGTAGCAGGGAATGTCTGTACTCAATGCAGTTAGATTACTATATGTGCAGTATATATATTGTAGGTACTTTCCACATGAGAATTTCTAATATTTTGTTTAGACTTCTGTTTGTGATTCAAAAGCTATTATTGAGTTGGCAGTTTCTTTATAAGTTTCTGATTCCTTCCAGCCCCATGTTTCCCATCAGAATTCCCTCCTGAAATTTTGTCATTCACATAGCCATTTTCTTTTCAAAATTTCAGATTGAATTACTTTACTAGGGATTGTGAAGCGTGGAAATTCTTTTTATTAGGTATATTACATGTTTCTTGCATCCTCCATTTCCAACAATTGAAGTTGGAGATCATCCGGTACTTCTATTTAACAAGTATAGACCGTTTACTTCACGCTTGGCATCATGTGGTAGAACACATGATGCCTGCACCTTGGCAAGCTATATTTTAATAATGTAGGTAGCATCATCTGCTCAGCAGTTCATTTTTTTGGAGTAAAACTGTACCTTTGTGAGCAGGGGGATAAAGTATAGAGTAAATGTAGCTAGTTCTATTTCGATACAATATAGAAATTTGTAGCTATAAAATGTAAGTCTTGCAACAGGCAGTTTAAAATAAACAATAAATTTATCTTTCTGAAAATTTTGTTTTGACAGGATGATGACGACTACTCCTCTACAAGTTTGCTTGGTCAGAAGAAGCCAGGGTACCATGCTCCAGTGGCATTACTTAATGACATACCACAGTCAACTGAACAGGTGAATTTTCTTAAATTTATGAGTACAGAGGAAAGTCATTCTAGGTTTTTTGTGTAAGTGTTTGTGGTTTTTAGTAAAACATTTTACAATGTATTATCTTAAAGTGGCTCCTGTAGCTTTTATGTTCCATATTTTTAAGACTTTAAAAGCCATTTGGAAAAATACATTAGTTCTTAGACTATGAAACTGACAGTTTTATGAACGACAGCTCTGGCACAACGTTGGTGAAAAGGCTGATTACTAAAAACAGGGTCAAGTGCTTGAAAATCACCTTTATAAGGAGGAGAAAAAACTAGAGTTAAGTGAAAGAGCAGTTCATTTAAAGCATGGTAATGTGGTTTAGTCAGATGTGGTTTCTGTCTGCTGGACAGAAATTTACTGGTAGCAATCATTTCTTCCAGTTGTAAAGGGTAATTTCCCCACAGTTTAGTGTTCCTATGGTTTATGATTTGAGACTGTAAAATAAATCCTAACCTATGTGACAATACTGGAAACCCACATGGGTTTACCTTTCTACCACTCATCAGATATCTTTCATCCCGCTATTTTATACAGTGGGCTAACAGTCAAATATTCTTTACTTTAAGTATGATCCCTTTGCTGAACATCGTCCACAGAAGATTGCAGATCGAGAAGATGAATACAAAAAGCACAGGCGGATGATGATCATTTCTCCTGAGCGCCTTGATCCTTTTGCAGATGGTAATTGGTTTCACTTTTTTATAGGTCTTATCAAGTTTGTTGTCTTAAATTGTCTTTAGCCCTTTGATTTCTTTTGGCATGCTTATGAACTTAGTTTTGTTTTAAACATCCCCTTTTTTATATAGATTTTATAGATTTGGTTGAAATCACAGATGTCATATTTTTCATCTTTATAACACAAGTTTTCTTTCCAGGTAGAAGGACAAGAAAATAATGAGCCATTGCCATAGAAACACAAAGGGTTAAAGGTTTCTCTTTTAATTTTGTTTTGGGTTGTGTACTGTACTTTGAACAACTTATGTATTTTGTGCTCAAAATAAATGTACTTTGAGTACATGGAAAGTTTTCATTCCAAATCGTAGTTTTTCAGGATTATTGCTTTTGAAATGCTAATTCTCAAAATAGAGCACATAATTCTTACCATCTTATGTTAATGCAGGTAGTATAGCTGAGTGAAACAAAAAGCATATAAAGAGACTTTGATACTTTTAATAGTGCAAGTCTGTTCTGCTAATTTTAGTATGCAAGTCAGCACAAGGGGCATAATGGCCTGATGGAAGCTTTCCTCAGGTGAGTGAGTTTCACAAGTGAAAATAAGGCGCCTGTTTGCTTAAAATTTGAATCTGTTGCAGGTTTACAAATTAGAATTTCAGCCTGCATGAATTAATAGGGATATTAATTATTTTACTTGCTTAATTGTAATAATTGATATAAACATGTTTTGTCAGAATTCACAGGCCCATACTAACTGTCCTTAATTTCTTTCCTACAGCAGTACTGCTATATGCCAGTCCTGTCTGCATTCTTAAGGGTGCAGTTCAACACATCCTGTGTAAATTATGGTGAAAAAGTATTCCAAAGGAAAGTCCTATCAAAGCTAGTGTCAGAATGACACTGCCAATTGGGCAATGATCTTCAGTATAGAAAATGTTTTAAGAATTTTATTTTTCCTAAATTGTAATGCTATACTGCTTGTATAGCAAATCTGCACATTATTTTAGAATAGTGTGTCCATGATAAGTCTCATTTTTATATTCTTGGGCTTCCGTAAAGTATTTAAAAGTTAAAATAAAAACTCAAGATACACAGAATAAAACATGGTATTCAAAAATCTTTTTGCCTGTGAGTATCATCGTGGTGGTAAATGTACTGTATATTACAATCAACTCCCAATTGTAATTGTACCTTCGGAAGAAAAGAGGGTCAAATAGTATAATTTCATTTTTTTATAATATAAAAAATGAAGCCCTTCTACAATATGACACCTCAAAATAAAGAACTAGAGGGGTTTTTTTGTCCAAATTTGTCAAATGTATAACTGGTATTTATGCTAAAACATTTTGAATCATTATCTAGGTATACAGTAGTTATTCATAGTCAGATAACAAGTAGGATTTAACAGCTTACACAAGGTAATGTTTTGAATATAAATATCTTTCCAAAGTGTTACTAATGGTAAAGAGATAATTTTCTAGGCTTCTATTCTGCTGCTTGAAGTCAGAACTGCTGATGGACACAAAGGCACGAAAGTGTACGTATTCCGGATTAGCAACCCAGGAACCCATCACTTCTGAAGACTCTTAACTGTGTTATCATTTTATCATTTTTATCTGCTTTAAAATATTTGTTTTAAACTGCAGTAGTTATGTTTGTGTTCAAACAGGTTAAATTGATCAACAAACTGAATAAACGTAAGATACGTGTAATTTTTAAAAAAATTCAATCAAAAAAGTAAAATTAAGTGATTATGGAATAATATAATATTAGAGCAGGACAATGAAAAAAGTAGATTTTTTGATTATCCTGTACTTATTGTATTCCTGTCCTGTTGCTGTTCTCTTCTGCAGGAGGGAAGACACCTGATCCTAAAATGAATGCCAGAACATATATGGATGTTATGCGTGAACAGCATTTAACAAAAGAAGAGGTCTGTTATCTTTTTGATCTGAGCTTAATGCTTTATTTGTTTTGTCTTGGATTTCTAAAGGAACGCGGGCCTTAGACTCCTTTGAAATCCAGTCTTCATGGGTAAATGGTTATTACTTGTTTAAATATCATTTGTTTGAAAGCTTATCTACTTGGGTTCAAAATAACAGCTAAGATAACCATGGAGGAGGAAAATCTTTTTGTTGTTGTTCCTTTAATACACACAAAGTAAATTACTTCCTGTTCAGTCAGCTTTGTTATTCCTCCTGTATAGTCACCTTCCGATGTTGATCTTTCACCCAGCAGAGGCGGGAGAGAGATTTTTAAAAAGTGATTGTAAAACCCCAAAACAATTGCCAGAAGATTCTGATGACAGGCATCATATCTGAATGTGTATTTAGTTCATTTAAAAAAAATAACTAGAGAATTCAAGTTGATTGGGTTTCTTTAAATTTGGCCTAAAATTTAAATTTGTTTTTAAAAGAAAAATAAAGTCTTTTAAAAGACTTTGAAATGGTTCTCCAAGTTGTATTTTAATAGATTCCAAATAGGTTTTTAAAGAAATTTCTGTGCTGCAGTATTAGAAACGCACATGTTGGGGTGGCTTCTGAGACCTTATCCGTTCAGTAGCCTCCAATACTCCAAACTCGTCTCTGAGGTTTCTTTATTGGCATGCAGTCAAACTACACTTGAGCTGATCAGGCTCAAGCATAGGGGGTGGGTACCAGGCATACCACACCCCCAGATTTAGAGCAAACCTTTTCCTTTAAATACGCTTACACAAGACATTGTGTTTATTACTATATATTGCATCATACATTTTGGGATTAGCTTGGTTACCTTGTAGGCACCAGTCCCTGTAAAGCATGCTCTGTCCATTTTATATTTACTGATTTTTCCTTGGTGCTGGGTTTGTTTCTACTTTCAAAGTACACAGCCATCTGAAAAAGAAAAGAGCCTACTGTGGATCCTCTTTGGAGCCATTGTAGTACTTTAAGTAGTATGTTTTTTCTTTCATAATTTAACTTGCACTTTTTATTTGCTATAACATTTTTAGCTGTATTAATTTAATTATATATTAGTGTACATTGAGTATACTAACTTCATATTTATATGAAATGGAACTGTTTTGTGTTGACAGAGTGTTCATGTACCCCTATACAAGTCACTGGTCACTCAGAGCCATCTTAAGGTTCATTGTTCATATGCCCATTCTTGGAGAGGAATTGTCATTTTATTTTATTATTATTTATTTTGCTTCTGCAGTTTTTTAGTGGTTGCTTTACTACTGAAAAAGGAATCAAGGATCTTTTCTCACCATCCTGGTTCTGGCCACCCTTTTAGTCCCTGTTTTTATTTGCTAATTTATATTTAACATTTATAACCTACTTTAAAGAAAAAGTTAAACTTTGTAAAAGCATTGAGACACCCGAAGGGTTAAATAACAAAGTTAAGACTGTCAGGAGACATTGGCTGCTGCTCAGTGTCTGCGACAGCTTTACGACTTTGAATGCAAGATTTAGCTGGATTTTTAGTGGAATCTTTTAAAAGCCAATTCATTTTTAGATATATTTTACATTTTCTTTTTAAATAGGAGTTTTCTTCAGTTCTGTGGTCCCTTACTGTGTTGCAAACAGTTTTGAGAGACCAAATAAATATTTGAAACTTGCTTGCCAGCTGAGCCTTTGGACCTTCTTTCCTAAAATGGTTGTACTCTCCTGAAGTTTTCCTTTTGTAAATTGCATGTTATGCGCAGATGACACATTTAAATTGATTACATTTCTGAACTGCAATTTTTATTTTTGAATTTAAGCTTTGAATAAGTTCTTCACAGGGAGAGAACTTTTTTGGCCTGAGCTCTGATAACTGCTGTACCCTAGCAACGTTTTGTTTTTACTAGGGCTGTCAAGTGACTAAAAAAAGTAATCTTGATTAATCATGCGATTAAAAAAATTAATTGCTATTAATCATGCTGTTAAACAATAATATAATGCCATTTATTTAAATATTTTTGAATGTTTTCTACATTTTCAAATATCATGATATCAGTTACAACATAGAATACAAAGTGTACAGTGTTCAGTTTATATTTTTGATTACAAATATTTGCACTGTAAAAAACAATAAATAGTATTTTTCAATTCCCCCATTACAAGTACTGTAGTGCAATCTCTTTATCATGAAAGTTGAATTTTCAAATGTAGATTTATGTTAAAAAAAAACCAAACAAACAAAACCTTCCTTCAAAAACAAAATAATGTAAAACTTTAGAGCCTACAAGTCCACTCAGTCCTACTTCTTGTTCAGCCAATCGTTCAGACAAACAAGTTTGGTTTTCATTTGCTGGAGATAATGCTGCCCACTTCTTGTTTACAATGTCATCTGAAAGTGAGAACAGGTATTCACATGGCACTGTTGTAGCCATTGTCGTAAGATATTTACTTGCCAAATGCCCTAAAGCAGGGGTCCCCAATGCGGTGCCCATGGGCACCATGGCGCCCGTCAGGGCAGTTTTGTGCTCCTGCAGGACACCCCGCCTCCGAAATGCCGCCGAGAAGCCTTGCCGTTTCCCAGCCGCATTTCGGCTGCAGCGGGGTGTCCAGCACCTGCCACAGTCTTCTGGGAATAGCAGTATGTTATTCCTACAAAAAAGGTTGGGGACCACTGCCCTAAAGACTCATCTGTCCCTTCATGCTTCAACCACCATTCTAGAGGACATACGTCCATGCTGACGATGGGTTCTGCTCGATAACAATACAAAGCAGTGTGGACCAATGCATGTTCGTTTTCATCATCTGAGTCAGATGCCACCAACAGAAGGTTGATTTTCTTTTTTGGTGGTTCGGGTTCTGTAATTTACGCATCTGAGTGTTGCTCTTTTACAACTTCTGAAAGCACGTTCCATGTCTTGTCCCTCTCAGATTTTGAAAGACACTTCAGATTCTTAAACCTTGGGTGGAGTGCTGTAGCTATCTTTAGAAATCTCACATTGGTACCTTTTTTGTGTTTGTCAAATCTGCAATGAAAATGTTCTTAAAACAAATAACATGCTGGGTCATCATCCGAGACTGCTATAACATGTGTCAGAATGTGGGTAAAACCAAGTAGGAGATGTACAGTTCTCTCCCAAAGTGTTCAGTCACAAATTTAATTAACGCAGTATTTTTTTAATGAACATAATCAGCATGGAAGCATGTCCTCTGGAATGGTGGCAAAAGCATGAAGGGGCGTATGAATGTTTAGTATATCTGGCATGTAAATACTTTCCAAAGCTGGCTACGGTAGTGCCATGCGAATGCCTGTTCCCACTTTCAGGTGACGTAAATAAGAAGCAGGCAGTATTATGTCCCGTAAATGTAAACAAACTTGTTTGAGCGATTGGCTGAACAAGAAGTAGGACTGAGTAGATTTGTAGGCTCTAAAGTTTTACATTATTTTGTTTTTGAGTGCAGTTATGTAAGAAAAAATCTACATTTGTAAGTTGCACTTTCACGATAAAGAGACTGCACTACAGTACTTATGAGGCGAATTAAAAAATACTATTTCTTTTATCATTTTGAGAATGCAAATATTCATAATCAAAAGTAATATAAATGAGCACTGTACACTTTGTATTCTGTACTGTAAATGAAATCAATATATTTTAAAAAGTAAAAAAAATCCAAAAATATTTAATAAATTTCACTTGGTATTCTATTGTTCAACAGTGTGATTAAAACTGCAATTAGTTTTTTATCACAATTAATTTTTTTGAGTTAATTGCGTGAGTTAACTGCAATTAATCCACGGCCCTAGTTTTTAGTGCTGTTTTCACTCCCTTATTTTCCTTATGTGTCAGCTAAGGATTCTCTGCTCCTTGAGGTCTTCAAACTACAATTTGAGGACTTCAATAGCACAGATATAGGTGTGAGGTCTTTTTTAGGAGTGGTGGGTGAAATTCTGTGGCCTGCATTGTGCAGGAGGTCAGACTAGATGATCATAATGGTCCCTTCTGGCCTAAATATCTATGAATCTATGAATCTATCTGGGGCTTTAATAAGCTGATTGTTGCACTTAATTTTTTCTTTCTCTGACAGGCAGTCAATTTTACTAGATATTTTTTTTTTAACAATCTGTTGTTTGAGCTAATTAATGCCCCTTGCATTGCTCTTATTTATTTTTCTACACAATAAAACCCAGATCGCATCCCCACTAGCATATTCAGAAGTAATCAAGCCATATCAAAATCCCTATTTCCTTTTTAGTGGTTTTGACCAAATCATCCATAATCCAGTTATTCAAATCAGATTGTCACTCTGCTTGCAGCAGCCAGCATAATTATTTACAGACTCTGTTCGTTGGAAGGGCCCATTTCCTTCAGAATAGCTGTGAAATCTTCTTGGGGGAAAATTGCATATAGTAGTGGTAGTTGTCACCACCTGACCTCCCATTTGCCTCATTCATTTGATTACTAAGGGTTTTACTGGGTGTGATTGTACGAGTTATACTGCCATAACTGGGTTTCATTATCAAACCATGCATTCTCTTCTTTAATCCTTCGGCATCCTCTTTAACACTTTCACTGTAACATTTCACAATCCCAACTGTTTAATTCCCTCTGAACTCTTCAGTGTTCATTTGTGCAAAAGCTCCTTTTAACTCCTCATTCTCTTTGCTTAAATCACTTACTCATCTCCCAAAGGGACACATTTCTCAGACGAATTCTTTTGGTGGCTCTAAACTTATCTTTTGTGGTTTTTTGCTCTTACTTCTTAACTTAGTATACTTTGCCTGCAAAAGCTGTACTCACTAAATACAGTCTTAGACAGACAGCTGCTTTTTACTTTAGATTCATGCAAATAGGTAACTGGCATTGTGTTCTCCTTGACCTGTCAGGAATCTTTTCTATTTAATTTGTTTCCTTCTCCACAACTTTTATTTATTCTTTATGCTTTATACATTCATCCCTGAAGGTGACACATTTTGTTTGTAAAGTTTTAGCCATCAGAAACAATCCTTGAGAAACTGCTGTCTTGATTTGGGCTTTCTTTGTTTTAGGGGGAAAGAAATAGGTATTTATTTTTTCCATGGTTGCCAGAGTGTCTTATTTTTTTGAAAATTTCAGTGGCATTCAACAGACCTCTGGTATGCTTTGCCAAGCATTCATTTTTTATGTACTACTTTTTTCCCTGCTCTCCGGAGTTCTTTTCACCTGATCCCGCTGTCCCCTTAATACTTCTCTGGAGAGTCCCTGTGGTCTGCCCTTAGATTTAACCTACTTCTCCAATGTGGTGTGAAGTTCTTCATATTAAACCCTTAATTCCTTCCAATGCCATTTTCCTTAATGCTAGGTTGCGACCCTCACACTAATGGGTGTATATGTTACCTGCTCCAGACAAACGGATCCGAGTTGCTGCACCAGTAAGTAGTGGTAGCCTCTGAGACCTTATCTGCTCAGGAGTATGTTGGGGTGGCTTCTGAGACATTATCCACTCAGCCTCGGAGACCTTATCCACTTGATTCCCAAGAACTCAGTTTGACTCAGAACTTATCACTGAGTTTTCTTTATTGTATACAATCAAACTACACTTGAGTTGAACACGCAGAAGCATAGGGCCTGGGTATAGTGCATACCACATATCTGAAATTACAGAGCAAAACTCTTCCTTTGTATATATTTATACATTATATTGCATTTACTATACATTGCATTACACGTTTTGAGATTGGCTTGGTTACTTTGTAGGAACCAGTTCCTGTACAGCACGCTCTGTCCATGCACTGTTCATGTATGACTTACTTTTACTTCGTCTTACGTTCCCAACTTACCTTAGCTATTGTTATCTTGTCCATTGTAAATGTTGTGTGGGTGTATCTTAAGTGGTACAGCCATTCTGTTTCCAGCCTACTGATCCATTTACCTCACTAATCCCGTCTCTCAAGAGATGAAGTCTCACTTACGTCAAACCAGGCCTACAACATTTTGCAGTACTAAGAACTCTGATGTGAAACCGACATTGATTTTTGGTCAAAGATGAGAAAAACGTAAAAAGTATAAATGTTTAAAAGTTGATATTTAAAACTTTCTTTTTTAATAACCAAAATAATGGTGAAAATTCCGTGTGTATGTACACACACACGTGTCCCTTGGCGTCAATGGAATTATGCTGATTTACCCCACTTGAGGATCTGGCCCATGTTTTTTATGTTGTCATCTTAATATTTATGTACATACTGATAAGTTAAAATAAAGAGTTCCATATGAATTATATATCCAACTTGTCTAAAGCAATCTTCTTAACATTTAATTAAGATCAGACATATAGCTAACTCAAATCTAAATTATTAGCTTCAAATATTGCATGCTGTGATATAATTCATTTAAAAATATTTTTAAAATAATACTTTTCTAAGCACTTGGGTAAAGAAGTTGTTCGGTTGAGGCAAACGTGTAGTAAACTTCTTAAATGTACACTGTCTTACTGATCACATATTGAAAAGTATTCTGTAATTAATCACTTTTAAAATAAAATTTGATTTAACTTTCCATTTGTAATACATCTAGAACCTTTTAGAGAGACAGTGGTAAGACACGTTTGGCATAAAATAGTGGTTTTGTAAAAATCTAATACCAATATAGGTGTTTCTCTGAAACCTTTAAAAACAATCCAGTGAAAACTTTTTAAAAAATAAATATTCAACTGCAGAATGCTGAACCCAAACATTGCAGTGTTATGCTAGTGTAGGGGAACTTGAAATTAAAATTGACCCAGAAATTGATTATAAACAGTGTCAAAATTTCATCGTCTAAGCTGAGAAAAATGCAAAAGGAAACAGCATGAGAGTAAATTTGACTATTCTGTCTGTTTTAGTAACCTACAATATTACCCTAAAGAAACTTGTTTTGAGAATTATTTTTAACATAAGAGTGCCCTTCTAAGGAATAAATTCTCTATTTTTTTAACAGAGGGAAATTAGGCAACAACTAGCAGAAAAAGCTAAAGCTGGGGAACTTAAAGTCGTCAATGGCACCTCCTCCCAGCCACCTTCAAAACGCAAACGGCGTTGGGATCAAACAGCTGACCAGACTCCTGGTACTACTCCTAAAAAACTATCCAGTTGGGATCAAGCAGAGGTAATTATCCCTTTATTGGTTCACCTCTGTGTTGTAAAAGCTGTCAGTGTTTCCAGCAAGTCTTTGGAGTTCTACAGAAGCTCTTGACTTCTATAGATGTCGCACAGACTGCACTTTTATTATACTAAATAGAAATTAAGTACTTACCTTTTACTGTACAAAATAAAATCAAAGGTAGCTGAGGAGTTTTAACAGCTTGTGCTTTTGTCTTGGTTAGACCCCTGGACATACTCCTTCTTTGAGGTGGGATGAAACTCCTGGCCGTGCAAAGGGTAGTGAGACTCCTGGAGCAACCCCAGGCTCAAAAATATGGGATCCTACTCCCAGTCATACACCAGCAGGAGCTGCAACCCCTGGACGGGATACACCTGGTCATGCAACTCCAGGCCATGGAGGTGCAACTTCCAGTGCACGTAAAAATCGATGGGATGAGACCCCCAAAACAGAAAGAGGTATTTCTGAAATTACTAGAATTGATAGAAAGGTCTGGATGGGTAATGGGATAAGAACTTTTAACTTCAGGCTGTCAGTATGAAAGCAGGTCAGGCCAGAAGTAGGGAAAAAAGTTATTGCTCTTTGATATCCAGTGGCTGATGTCTTTTTCAGTTGGGATGCTAGTAGGCAGAGTTCTGTCACAAAAAATTCACCCCTCATGGTTTTAGTAAAGGAAACTAAGGCGATGCAGTATGCGCACTGCATCAGCATGGCTGTGGTGCCATAGCTATGCCACTGTAACCTTATAGTGTGAATGCAGAAGGGGTTTTGGTGTCACTGTAAGAACTCAGTCTCATGGAGCGACAGCAGCTAGGTTGACAGAAGCATTTTTCTGTCAACTTAGCTGCATTTACATGGGGGAAGCAGGTCAGCATAGCTACAGTGGTATGGATATTTCATACCACTAAGTGCCACAACTGTGTTGACCTGTGTTTAAATGTACACCAGAGCTTAAGAGTCTTTTTAGTAGTGATACTGCACTATCCGCTACAGCTGAGGCTTTTGAAGCATGCTGACAGGACAGAGAAGCTCACATTATATTGTCTTTTATGGATATATAGAAAATGTTGCTTATACTGTCAATTGGGCATGTTTCATAAGATTTATGCATTTATACCCCTGTTTGCTTTGACAAATTTTATTCACCTATTAGACTATAAAAAAAATCTTTGTCATATGTTAAATTGTTAAAATATTTTAACAAAGCAAGTATTGGAGTGTTTAATATATAAAATATTCAAGTTCTTTCAAATATGTTGCAATGATATCTAGTACTGATTGTCAGATGAAACCAAAGAATATAAAAAAAGACAGACTCTTTTCCTCCCTAAGATTAAATTATTGTGTACATTCATTATACTGGTGGTAGCCTTTAATATTAAGGATGAGGGAAGTTTTTGGTTACCTGTTTGGTATCTTTGTTTATCTGATCTACCAGCGGTGGAGCTTGATGTTTCTGTTAGTATGTTGTTATGGGCAAGGAGGTGAAAGAGTGGAATGGAATAGTGTAAGGGAGATCAGATCTTGATATTGTAGTAATGCTTCCCTTTTAGAATGTTTTGTTTGTTTTTAGAAAAGGAGTACTTGTAGCACCTTAGAGACTAACCAATTTATTTGAGCATGAGCTTTCGTGAGCTACGCAATTGGTTAGTCTCTAAGGTGCTACAAGTACTCCTTTTCTTTTTGCGAATACAGACTAACACGGCTGTTACTCTGAAACTTGTTTGTTTTTCTGACTTTCAGAAACTTTAGGATTTTGGTTGTAAGATCTGACTTGCAGCCATCATCTGAAAAAATTGGGCTTTTATTTTTATAGATACACCGGGACATGGCAGTGGATGGGCTGAGACTCCTCGTACAGATCGAGGTGGTGATTCAGTTGGTGAAACCCCAACTCCTGGAGCAAGTAAAAGAAAGTCACGTTGGGATGAAACACCTGCTAGCCAAATGGGTGGTAGTACTCCCGTTTTGACACCTGGCAAAACACCAATTGGTACACCAGCCATGAACATGGCAACCCCTACACCAGGTAAGATTAATCCATTAACTAAGACTTCTGTTTTCTATCACTTCATATTAAAATGTAAAAATAATGTAGATTTATGTAGGCATCCCTATTCTGCTTTTTGACTTTGGAAGCCCAACTTTGTATTCTGAATGTCTGTAGCAATTGAATTCTGGCAGGGAACACAACAATGTAACCTCAAAGTCTGCTGTGAATGTTTGTTGAATTGATAGGCAAGAATTGCTAGACTTTCCTGAAAGTTCTAACTCAAGAGATTGGAATTCTGAGGCCAGTTCTGTACTCAAGTGCTGAATATGTCTTAATTCCAGACAATATTAAAGAAAGTACCCTTGCAGATAAAAATTAAAATACTTTCTTTTCCATAAATGTAGGTCATATAATGAGCATGACTCCTGAACAGCTACAGGCATGGCGCTGGGAAAGAGAAATAGATGAGAGAAACCGGCCACTATCTGATGAAGAACTGGATGCCATGTTCCCAGAGGGATATAAGGTAGTTGATCTGAGTATATCAAAGCAGTCTGTCGCTATATATGCTGTAACATACTGGTAATACATTTTCCACTCAGAATATGGATTTTAACAATAAAATAAATGTTATGATTTGAATGTTTCACACTAAATACAGATGAATTCATGCTAACTTTTGTTAATTTAGTTACTGGTATTTTATAAATATCCATTAGAAGGGGAAAACTTAAGAGTTAAATTAAAAGGAAGGCAGTTTTTCTTCTGCTTCACCTTGGGGAGCTCATGCTGATTTCAGAAGGAGTTCCGTATGTGGAATGGCTACAGAACTAGAGCCCATGGCGTGGTAAAACAGATCAGACAGAGATTGAAAACTGTCAGTAAGACCGTATTAACATGCTACATTTAAAAAAAACCACCCACTTATTTTAATATTCATATCAAACACTTCATAAAGAGACATTTAAAGGCTAAAATTTCATCTCCTCTCATGAGAACTGTACAGTAATACTTACGATTGTTAGGACTCCTCTTGACATCATTCCTGTACTTTCAAGTCCAACAGCATGTACGCAGTTCCAAAGAATTTATAAGATCACAGTTACTTAATTTACAACTATACAAAGGTAGACTCAAAAACATATACTGGAAGACTGTCACAAATCAGTAGAATAAACAGTTAACATGACAGATACATGTATACATCTGTATACATGTATCAGTCATTCCCTGTTCTGAGGCTGTTGTGACTGTCAGGTAATGTTATTTTTAACATTCTGCTTTGCAGTCTGAAAATACTTTTTAGATTTTAGTGTTCAGATGTCTGCCTTATTTCAGTGCATTATTTTTATCTTTATTTCGCTTCAGGTTCTTCCCCCTCCAGCTGGTTATGTGCCTATTCGTACTCCAGCTCGCAAACTTACAGCAACTCCCACACCATTGGGTGGTATGACTGGATTCCACATGCAAACAGAAGATCGGACCATGAAGAGTGTTAATGACCAACCATCTGGAAATCTTCCATTCCTAAAACCAGATGATATTCAATACTTTGATAAACTACTGGTAAATGAGATTTTATTGATACTGATTTAATGTCTCCTTATATGGGGCTGGAGATGGTAGAAAAACTGTGCATTAATTAATATATTTGGAATTATTTATAGGTTGATGTTGATGAATCAACACTTAGTCCAGAAGAACAGAAAGAAAGAAAAATAATGAAATTGCTCTTGAAAATAAAGAATGGTACACCTCCAATGAGAAAAGTAAGATATTCCTCTGATGTGGACATACCACTCTCCTTTTCAAATACCGTAATTTCCTTCCCATTTATTTTAGGATCTAGTTTCAGCTTTTTTCCCTAGAACTGCCCATGGGCTTTCTCCAGGCTGCTTCTAAAGGACTTTTATTTGTCTGTTGTTTTTTCCTTCTTCTCATCTAACTTTTGTTTTCTCTCTGTATTGTTTTTCCCTGATTTATGCCTCTTAATTTTTCCCCCTCTCTAAATTATATATTGGTCACAACTGTATTAAATAATTCAGTAAATATTTCTATTTTATAATAATTACATCTATAAAGCATATTGTGACACATTTATATGAAGGATGTTATATTTTATTGTATCTTAAGATCATTGTTCCAAATGCATTTCTGGCAACAGCATGCATAAATAATTTGAAATCAGTAGAAATGCACTTGATTATGGCTTGATTTTGCTCATTACATAGAAATGTTGTGTTGTTTTGGTTTCATTCTGTGTGGTTTAATTCAGAGGGGTTTCTTTTTTAGGCTGCTTTGCGCCAGATTACTGATAAAGCTCGTGAATTTGGAGCAGGTCCGCTGTTTAATCAGATTCTACCTCTGCTGATGTCACCAACACTTGAAGATCAAGAACGTCACTTGCTTGTCAAAGTTATTGACAGAATCTTGTACAAACTGGATGATTTGGTCCGACCATATGTACACAAGGTCTGTTTCACTGAAATTTATTTAAATATGTAATATTTGTTTTATGAATGCAGTCTGTACTCTTTACTGAGTGCTTTATAATAGTTACTTTTCTGTGGCTCATTTTTACAGATGTTTATGCATCTGGGCATTTGAATCTTCATTTTTAAAAAAAAAATTTACATTATTGGTAGGAGTGCACAGTTACAGATACTGTCCTTTTTATAAGTACAGAATGTAATACTAAAATGCTTTTATATAGTCATTTACCAGATTTCATTTGCAGAACATCTTTTGTAAGTTGTATGAATAACACATCAAAATATAAAACTTAAAAGCAAGGCAGTCTGGAAGAGTTAATTGTACATGAATGTGCTGGAAATAAAAGATTGTGGTAGCTGATCCGTGCAATATCGCTGGTATTGGCATCCTGTCTTAGAGGAGAAAGGTAGTCTAGAAAATCAATCAATGTTGAATGAGGGGGTAAAGGATTATTAAGGGAGATGGTGATCTTTTGAATTTAATGAGCGTGGGAGCCATGGAATCACCATGTTAACCAGCCTTTTCTTAGGGCCAGAACTACTGAAGTGGACAATAATACTTGAGTTGAGAGATATTCATTAATATAATTTGAAGTGTTAATTTGTTCATTTGTTACCCTTTTCAGATTCTTGTGGTCATTGAACCACTACTGATTGATGAAGACTACTATGCGAGAGTGGAAGGCAGAGAAATTATATCAAACTTGGCTAAGGTAGTAACACTGCAGCATCCTTCCTTTTTGTACTGAATGTGATAGTGTTATAGCTAAAATGTAACTGTAACTATGTGACCTGGAGTATTCTGCTTTTTAGTATTGAAAATGTAATGGTTATGTGATAAGAAACTTACAAACCCAGCAAAGTATATATGTTTTATTTTTTTGTCTTTCAGGCTGCTGGTTTGGCTACAATGATCTCCACCATGCGACCTGATATTGATAACATGGATGAATATGTCCGAAATACAACAGCTCGAGCCTTTGCTGTTGTCGCCTCTGCTTTAGGCATTCCTTCTCTGTTGCCCTTCTTGAAAGCTGTATGTAAGAGCAAAAAATCCTGGCAAGCTAGGCACACTGGCATCAAGATTGTACAGCAAATTGCTATTCTTATGGGCTGTGCTATCTTGCCTCATCTCAGAAGTTTGGTTGAAATCATTGAACATGGTATGTTCTGTTTTTTGTTAAATGTTTTCTCTAGTTTGTACATAAGGCTGTTGGTTAAATTAAGGACTCAAATTCTTGAATGTCAGTCCTAGACTTTGTAATCTAATAGAGACTACATCAGAGTATTCGTCTTTCCTTTTTATAGTTTTTTCAAAGATTTTGGTCTATAGCCTGGTTTAAATAACTGTAATAAACCTTTATATGTGAGTTGTTATAGCTATAAAGCACAGAAGACAATAACTTGAAAATAACTAGTACTTCTAATTTCTTTTGGACTATTAATCCTTTAGTTCTTATGTAGTATAGTTCTTGCTCTTTGGACCATGTTTTGACTAGTAGATGACAACAATACTGTTTGACTTTGTATAACTGCATATTGTCCTGCGTTCTCCATCTCTCAACAAGTCTTGTATAATTTAAGGTATTCTCTATATTAATGGTTAAATTACGGAGAACGCTTGTGTTTCAATGAGCATCGTGCGAGCCAATTCTAATTGAGGAAGTTTTCTTTATTGATACAATAACATCCCCATGTATCAAGTTCACACTACCGCACTTGGGATGATTTGTATTGTAATTGCTTACTTGTTTTAGTGAAACATCTGCTGGTCAATTTTAACCGCTGTATTATGGAGCTCTTGGGACTTCATTGTTGAGAAGATCTAGAATTCTAGGGAGTGAAATGTTTTAAAATCCACAATAGAGGCACTTCATAGGTTGTAAATAATCCGCATACTTTTTCTGAAACGTTTTAAAAAATCAACTTCTGAAGTGTTAGAGCACAGCCTGATGTAGTTGGGTGGTTTTGTTTCAATTCTGTTTTTTTCCAGGTATTATAAACTAACATGAGGTTTTTCATCTGGATTTCCCCTGCCCGTGACTTCTCTACAATGATTCCTTTTTGTTAAATAGCTGCCATGGAAGCAGCACTTCAGTACTTTTCCTGAAGAGGCCTGAATCTGGAGACATTTGAAGCTGAAACTCCTCATTGTTTTTGATTTTTAGACATTTAGAGCAAACAGTTCTCTGTGTAAACAAGACTTTTTAAATTCCAAAATAGATATTGAAGGTTTGTGCCAGGAAATGCTGAGCACAAGATGGAAGGGAAAAGTGGGGGGCATGCTTTTACGCTTTAACAAAAGAAGGATTTTATTTTCTCTTTCCTGTCCTCTGGCACACATTCCCCCATTTTTCCACAGTAATTCAAGCTCTGTGTAATGGTGTAAGAAGCACTTACTGAATATGACTTGTTTTCCAGGTTTGGTGGATGAGCAGCAGAAAGTGCGTACTATCAGTGCTTTGGCTATTGCTGCTTTGGCTGAGGCAGCTACTCCTTATGGTATTGAATCATTTGACTCCGTTCTAAAGCCCTTATGGAAGGGTATACGTCAGCACAGAGGAAAGGTATGTCTCTTCAATCTGTTTCTTTGCATCTCTTTATTTTGAATGTAAACTGCTGTATATATTTTAATACCCATAACAAATATATTATGTATTATAATAGGGTCTGGCTGCCTTTTTGAAAGCTATTGGGTATCTTATCCCTCTTATGGATGCTGAGTATGCCAACTACTATACCAGAGAAGTAATGCTAATCCTTATCAGAGAGTTCCAGTCTCCTGATGAAGAAATGAAAAAAATTGTGTTAAAGGTATGTCAAAATCACTTAAACACTGTCAGTGTAATGTTTAAAGTAAACTTGATATTACTTGTGATTTGGATCAATAAAAGAATCTGTCGTTTAATAAGCATTCTTCTTAAAAAAAAAAAAAAAAAGTCTACAGCATTAAAACTGTTGCACTTTTATTCCCTGTTAGGTGGTAAAGCAGTGTTGTGGTACAGATGGCGTTGAAGCAAACTACATTAAAACAGAGATTCTGCCGCCATTTTTCAAACACTTTTGGCAGCACAGAATGGCACTGGACAGAAGAAATTACAGACAGGTATAGTTTAGTTTGGAAAAGATTTTAAACTGCTTTGAATTAAATTTATCAAATGGTATATATAAAGATGTTTGTGGTGGTGAATTTATTTTTGACTTTTTCAATGTATCTTGAGACGGCATTCACTTTGGGCAGAGACACATTGTGAGATGTGGATAGATGGTTAAAAGGATCAGCATTCTTAAATGGTATACAAAACATTTTGCTTCTAGTTTACCTGTTTGAATACCAGTCTCAGTTGGTAGTACAAAAGTAAGTACCATCTGATGGCTCATTTGTGCTATGTAAAATGACTGGTTGGTTTCCGTTTCTAGTGGATAGGTGTCCCCATCACAAAAGTGTTACCACTATTAGCTCAAATAAACACCCAAGTTGACAGTCTCAGAGAAGACTTAAATGCTTCACTTTCCATGCACTCTAGAATTGGTCCTTCCAGTTGAGAGATACTAACATGGCAGTGTGTTTTAAATCATTTTCAGTCCATCCTAACAGGAAACAAACTCTGGAAATTCACACTACCACTGCGAATGACAAAAGTGCTCAAACTCACATTTAAAAAAAATAGTGTTTAATTATCTGGGTAATACATCCACCTCACATTAGTTTAAAAACAAAATGTTTTGTAATTTTTAATTATCTATGCAAGGAAAACTCTCCCACTCCCTGACTTGAAGGCAAAGAACAACCAAGTGGATTAGTCCATTTGCAATAATTTTTCTCAGGATATAGACAAGAATCTGAGATTCTGGAATTTTTTCTGCTTACCCACAACCTTGAAAATGGCTTTCTGCAACTTGGTTGTTGCCTCAGGAGGTTTATTCTGTTCTTGAGAGTAAATTATACCAGCGTGATGCCCTTTCTTTTCTTGTACCAGGCAAAGGATTTCCCAGGTCATCTTAGAGGTTTTAGGAAGTCTTTGTAAACTCTCTCTCTCTCTCTCTCTCTGATTATTTTGCCCAAAGCTATATTTTCATGTTTCAGCTGGTTGATACAACAGTGGAGCTGGCAAACAAAGTTGGAGCAGCAGAAATTATTTCCAGGATTGTGGATGATCTGAAAGATGAGGCTGAGCAGTACAGAAAAATGGTTATGGAAACAATTGAGAAAATAATGGGGAACCTGGGTGCAGCAGACATTGACCATAAACTAGAAGAACAACTTATTGACGGTATCCTGTATGCCTTCCAGGAACAGACCACAGAGGTATTGTTAGAAGATGCTCTTAGCAGTTAAAATATTTAATTTAATCTGTTTACACTGTTCTGGAAAAAATAGTATTTACGCTTGAAATCCAAACAAGAATTACATGGGTTTTTTAATTGGAACAAAGAGCACTGAAATTTGTAAGGCAGTTTTGGAATATTAAAGTGGCAAATATTATAAAGGTTGTAGGTACGAAAGGAGTTCAATAGTAAATGGACAGTTGATATAAGAGAGACAAGGTGGGTGAGGTTATACCTTTTATTGGAACAACTTCTGTTGGTGAGAGAGACAAGCTTTTGAGCTTACACAGAGCTGCTCTTTGAAAGTTTGTCTGTCTCACCAACAGAAGTTGGCCCAATAAAAGATACTAGCTCCCCCACCTTGTGTCTCTAATATCCTTGGACCAATGTGGCTACAACAATACTGCATGCAATTAGTGATGTAGTTGATCTTGCTTTTCTAACTCTTTTTGTTTTTGTTTTTGTTGTTGTTCAGGACTCTGTGATGTTGAATGGCTTTGGCACAGTGGTTAATGCTCTTGGCAAACGAGTTAAACCGTACTTGCCCCAGATCTGTGGTACAGTTTTATGGCGTTTGAACAACAAATCAGCCAAAGTTAGGCAGCAGGCTGCTGACCTGATCTCGCGTACTGCAGTTGTTATGAAGACTTGTCAAGAGGTATTCATTTCTCCCATTCCTCCTTTCCACAGAAAGTCATTTTTAAATGAAAGAAAAGTGAGAGAATTTTTGTTAACTTTTACATCTTGTTACTTGGTTCTAGGAAAAACTGATGGGACACTTGGGTGTTGTCCTGTATGAGTATCTGGGTGAGGAATACCCTGAAGTATTAGGCAGTATACTTGGAGCACTTAAAGCCATTGTGAATGTTATAGGTATGTGGGGTTTTTGTATCAGAAGCAAGTGGGGGGGGGGTTAAGAGAATGAGACTTAATAAGGTGCCATTCTGTTGAACAGGTATGCACAAGATGACGCCACCAATCAAGGACCTGCTGCCAAGACTCACACCTATCTTGAAAAACAGACATGAGAAAGTACAGGAGAATTGTATCGACCTAGTTGGTCGTATTGCTGACAGGTGAGTTGTTGTGGTATACTTCTGAAACGCCATGACATGTTAATTGCTTACATAACAGGTCACAACATTTACCCATTTTTAATGTTTGATAATTTAGTTATCAGGTTTGGGATCTGGATTTTATAAATCTTTGGGGCTGTTGGAGTTCCTTAAGCTTTATTACAGGGGTGGCCAACCTGAGCCTGAGAAGGAGCCAGAATTTACCAACCTACATTGCCAAAGAGCCACAGTAATAAGTCAGCAGCCCCCCATCACACACACACACACACACACACACGGCTCCCAGCACCTCCCGCCCATCAGCAGCCCCGCCAATCAGTCCCTCCCCGCATCTCGTGATCAGCTGGTTCATGGCGTGTAGGGGGGCGAGGGAGAGGAGTGAGGGCATGGCAGGCTCAGGGGCAGGAAGGGGTGGAGTGGGGGCAGGGCCTGTGGCAGAACTTGGGGTTGAGCAGTGAGCACCCCCCGGCACACTGGGAAAGTTGGCGCCTGTAGCTCCAGCCCCAGAGTCAGTGCCTATACGAGGAGCCGCGTATTAACTTCTGAAGAGCGCATGTGGCTCCGGAGTCATAGGTTGGCCACCCCTGCTTTATTACAAAGATTGTTCATATTAACAGGTCTTCATGATTAATAAAATGAAATATGTAGGTACAAAGTATGACTGATCAGGTATACATTTGCAGTCTCATATACTATTTAAATTATATTATTTGCTACTGTTAGTCTTTAATTGGTTTGTCAGTTTACATATACTTGATGCAGACCATAGAATGAAGCTTAATTCCCTATGTGGTTGTGTACTCTTATAACAAAAATTCACATTAAGCCATCCATTAACTGTTTAAAAAGAGAGAAGGTGAGCCTGTGTTCCTGTGTTAGTAGCATAGGTGTACATCTTGTAATCTGTGTTTTGCTTTAAAAAGGTGTGACTTTACTAAAATACCTGCATTCCCTTTCTTATCCAGGGGAGCAGAATATGTTTCTGCAAGGGAATGGATGAGGATCTGCTTTGAACTGCTGGAGTTGTTAAAAGCTCACAAGAAAGCTATCCGACGAGCCACAGTAAATACTTTTGGTTATATTGCAAAAGCTATTGGGTAAGTATGTTGTCTTGATACTGATCAGCATGTGTAGGCCCTTTCTTAGAACGGTGGTGATTGTGGGTTTTCTTGAAAAAAAAGAACAATGAATTTCTTTTGTTTTTAAAATTTTCAGCCAAATTGTTGTGTACAATAGGTTTTTTTGTACTTCATTTTATTCACTTTGTAGGAGGCAAACTACAATCCGTTACGCTTCAGTAACATATGCTGTTTTAATAGACATGGGGTTGGTCTACATTACAACGTTAAGTACATCGCTCAGGGCTGTGTAAAATTTCCTGCCCTCTGTGATGAATTAGGCAATTTAAGCTCTAGTGTAGACACCGCTAGGTTGATGGTATAATTTTTCCATTAACCGAGCTACCACCTCTCCATCCCCTTGCATCGCTGTATTAAGCGTCTACACTACAGCGCTAAAGCTCTGCCACTGTAGGGTTTCTAGTGTAGATGTGCCCTAGCTTCGCAGGGCAGACATGATCAAAGTACATTTTTATGTTCGTAGAAAGATAGAGTTAAGTTATAGCCATCTTTTTCCAGTGCTTGTACTAGAATGGTTCTAATTTTATAGGTTTGTTTATTTTTCTGATTGAAAAATTGGAGTAAATGGTACATTCAGGTGCTTCCTGGGTCCTTTCATACAATCTTGTTCTTGAGGTTGTGGTTCCACAAGTCTCTTCCGTTAGTGTTTTCTGTAATAAAGAACTTCAGCAAAGAAATAATTTTTGCTGTTAATTTGTATTACCAATTTATAGTCTTGTCAGAGTGTAGCGTGAAGCTTAATTCTGTATATTAGTCTACATATTCTTAGCAAATGGTCAGACATCCAAATAAGCAATCTGTTCAAAAACAGATACAAGGTATCTAGAAGCCCTAAAATTGGGACCACATCATACAAGCACTGTATGAATATACACCCTAATCCAGCTAACACTTAGCATGTGTGTCATTTTCTGCAAGAGCATAAATGTTTGCAGGATCAGGGCTCTAGTAACAGAAAATTCTTACTCCAAAGAGTGTACTAGCTAATTTGAGGCAAGATAAACACCTGAGTTCCAAGTGGTGAAGGATGGATGAGGGTCATGAAAAGATCACACAGCTATTGCACAACTCGCTGCCTTCTGCTAGTTCCAAATCAACTGTCTGTCTCTGAGATACAATCTATTATTGACTGACTGGTTTCTGACATTAAAAGTAACTTAGTACATATTTACATCTTTTCACTGACAAACTCCTGCATTTTGTCTCTTCCAGACCCCATGATGTGCTGGCTACACTGCTAAATAACCTGAAAGTACAGGAAAGACAGAACAGAGTATGTACTACAGTAGCAATTGCTATTGTAGCTGAAACATGCTCACCTTTCACAGTACTGCCTGCTCTGATGAATGAATACAGAGTTCCAGAACTGAATGTCCAGAATGGTGTATTAAAATCTCTTTCTTTTCTGTTTGAATACATTGGAGAGATGGGAAAAGATTACATTTATGCTGTTACACCACTGCTTGAAGACGCTTTAATGGACAGGTCAGTAATTTATCACTTTAGGATACTTGTTGTCACATTCAAGTTCTTCTTGTTACATTAAACACGCTTCCCTCCCATACCTGGTTCCTCAGTAGCAGAAAAATGTACATGGAGATGATTGCTTCCTCAAAAACATTAATAGAATAACATATATATTTTAGCTTGATGTAATTCAAGCCAACTTTCTCTGTGTTCCAAACAACTATGCATTCCTTTTTTAGTAATACCATTGAAGACTAAAAGTTTGCAAAATGAGATAATTACAGAATGACCCAGGATTTACCATATTAGGACAACTTTTAATTAGTTATTTTTCTAGACTACTGAGCAGTGTTAAATGATAGTAATTTCTCCTATGAAACTGTTAGATGATTTTTTATTAGCTGATTTGAAGTGTAATTTCTCTGCCCCATGCTGTTTGCAAGGAAGAATAGAAGAGTATCATCAACTTTTTAGCATTCTTTGTGTCAGAAAAGCATTATTATTAGGGCCCTACCAAATTCACAGTCCTTTTTGGTCAAGTTCACGACCACAGGATTTTAAAAACGGTAAATTTCATGATTTCAGATTTAAATGGCTGAAATGTCAAGGTGCTGTAATTATCGGAGTCCTGACCCAAAAACGAGTTGGGGGGGGGGGGGTCCACAAAGTTATTGTAAGGGGGTTGCAGTACTTTTACTTCGGCACTGCTGGTGGTGGCAGTGCTGTCTTCAGAGCTGGGCTCCCGGCCAGCAGCCGCCGCTCTCCAGCTGCCCAGCTCTAAGGCAGCATAGAAGTAAGGATGGCAATACCGCAACCCCCCTAAAATAAATTTGTCTCACACACACACCCCCAAACTTCCCTTGGGTCAACACCCCCAATTTTTGAAACACTGGTCTCCCCCATGAAATCTGTATAGTATAGGGTAAACGCACACAAAAGACCAAATGTCATGGGGGTGGCACCAGATTTCATGGTCCGTGACGCGTTTTTCATGGCCATGAATTTGGTAGGGCCCTAATTATTATGATTTCCAACAGAAAGTTTTGTTTGCAAGTGAACTTGTTAAATAAACAGGTTATGTTTTCTTTGCAGAGACCTTGTACACAGACAAACAGCCAGTGCTGTGGTGCAGCATATGTCTCTTGGAGTATATGGATTTGGCTGTGAGGATTCTCTGAATCACTTGTTAAATTATGTGTGGCCCAATGTGTTTGAGACATCTCCTCACGTCATTCAGGCAGTTATGGGAGCACTGGAGGGCCTAAGAGTTGCCATTGGACCATGTAGAATGCTGCAGTATTGTTTACAGGTATGCTTACTTACGTGGGGGCGGCAGGGAAAGTAATTTGTCAAACCTTGATACTCAACAAGGAGGAGACTTCTGGAAAGCAGAAATCCCAAAAGTGTGTTAAGGATGATAATGGACATCAGCTTTGGTGTTTGCAGTATAATGTTGCCATACGCCACAGAGGTGGGAGAGTAATAGTATATTACTTTGTGATTCAAACTGTATTTGAAATATTGTATTAAGTTCTGCACACTTTGTTTACATATTTCTGGTAACAATATTTAGGGAGTTTAGAGAAGTGAAACGAAAGTAATCATGGGGCTGCAGAAAAACGTGTGGGGAATGAAAGATGAGGCTGATGAAGGGAAAAATGAGTTTAGTTTGACCAACTTGTGAGGGTATAACCATCTGCAGATCCTTGAAGGTAAATACGAAGGGCTGAGAGGAACAGTGGGGGTGTGTAAGAGAAAATAGTGAATGAAATTAAATTGAATTTAGGTTAAATCTCAGGAAACAAACTGATAGTGATTAGTGTTAGCGCGTAGTCTGTTCATCCCTCAAGATAATTAAAACCAGATAGCTCAAAGCACTGGAAAACTATACTGTAAGATAGGAAATATTCTCTCAGCATTGGGTTTGAATGTTGTTTATTAGTGAACATTTATGTTATGGTAGCACCCAAAAGCCCCATTGCTATATTGTCACAGACAATAGATACTCCTTGTCCTGTGGGATTTGCAGTCTAAAAGACAAAACAGATGAAATGCAGGGGATGAGGATATAACATATAGGGAACTGAATACAGCAAGGAACTGACTCTAGTTGCATGTCTGGTGTTTTGTTTTGCTCTTTAAGATGGTAGGGTGAGGAGTTGGTAGGAATAAGGGAGTAGGGAAAAGGAAAGAAAGCGAAAGGGGACATCTCTGCCTAGTCTGTTTTATATTCTTAATTTGTATTTTCCTCACTTAAACTACTAAGCAATAGATTAGTATTTCCCTAGAGCCTTAAAATTCTACCTGTTCTGCAGTGAGGGGGATAATAATAAAAACTTAACTCTTGTATAGCACCTCCATGCGTTCATCTCTGTGCTGTACAAAGGAGAAACTGAGTAGCATTATCCCCACTTCACACTTGAGGAAACTGAGGCACAGAGAGGTGATGTGACTTCCTCTGGGACACCGCAAGTTAGCACAGCCAGGAACAGAACTTGGGTCTCCTGCCGATGTCCCGTTCAGTGCTAGCACTTCATCTGTTCTTCAGGGTGAATTCCACTGTGTGAATTTCTGGTTGTTTTGCTCTTTTTAGAAAGGTGAAGAGCCCAATCAAAACAACCAGAAACTCATACAGTGGAATTCACCCTGAAGAACAGATGAGACTTAAAGGGTGCAGAACTCCTAAATTTGAATATTTCCTTTGTATATGAAGTAATGACAAATCATTGTTTTATCTTCATTAGAAAGTTAAACAAGAATAGCAGTAACAGGAGAGAGTTCACTGTGTTTTCTCAGCTCAGACTTTTAGTTGGCATTTATTTTAATAACTAAACTCGATTTAAAATAATTGCTTAAGTTTTTTGTTTTATTTTTACTATTATGCATAGCCCAAATACCAAGTCTGTAATGTACATGGCTTGTTTATTTTATATTTTGTTTTATTTTCCTAGGGTTTGTTTCACCCTGCCAGGAAAGTCAGAGATGTGTATTGGAAGATTTATAATTCAATCTATATTGGCTCACAGGATGCCCTGATAGCACATTATCCAAGAATCTACAATGATGAAAAGAACACCTACATTCGTTATGAACTTGATTACATCTTATAATCTTATTGTTCAGTCATTTGTGTTTAATGCACAGCTGTTCCACACTTAAACTTGCTTCGAATTTGGTGATGTAAAATTTTAAAACGTTGCAGATCAGTCTAGAGCTGGTCAGAGGAGGAGCTAGAAATCCATTAGCATGATTTTTAAATAATCTGTCCTATTTTTATGTTAAACAGTTAAAGCCAGTAGTGACCAAGAACACAGTGTGATTACACAATGTACTGGAGGGATTTCATTTTGGATTCATCTTTATGAAGATTTAGATTTCATTCCTTGTGTTTAAAGGGGATGTTTATTTGAGAAATAAACATTTGTGTATAAAATACTAATTTGTGTGTGTGTTTTTGGACAGAGAGGCTTGTGAAGCGAATCTCTTTGATAGATTGTTAAGCATTTGTTTATGTAAAAAAGGTGGCGTAAATTTTAACCCTCATTTTGTTATCCCCTAGTTTTGAATAAATAAGAAAAATGTACAAACTGTAGTTGATGTGTGTGTCTTTTATAATGGGATAATGAAACTGTACTGTAGCTGGTTGCCATAGTTTTCACATTCTATTTGCATGGAAACCATGGCTTTTAGTTACTGCTTGCTGTCAGATTGCTTCACTCAAAATTTCATGGCTGTGAAAATTCAATGTGCTGTCATTGTAATTAAAAAAATGAAGCTTTTTCTAGATGGTCTAAGTAAAAATGCGTTGTCAGTTGAATGTGAACATGAATCTGTTTCATAGCCTTTTAATCGGTGTACCTGTCCAGGATGAAAGTGACCAGTATAGTGCTTAGGTCTGATTTAGGCTAATTGGATATTTGTCAGAAAAATAGTATCTGTAGTACCGGACTTGAGGCAGCTGCTGGGAGTGCTGAGCAAATGGACAGGAATTATTGGAATCATTTTGTCCTTACCAGCTGCCGGTATATAGGGGAGGGTAGAAGAAACACCTTACCTCATTCCTGCTCACCCCCAATTATACATACTCCAGCAATAAAAAATAAGTCAAGAAGGACATATTATAAAATGGAGACATGGAAAACCACACAAAACATGGGATGATGTCCTGACGTTGCCATGTAAGGTTATCATTGTGATGATGTCATTGCAGCCTAATGAAATAGTAGGATGAAAACAGCAGTGGTGTGAAATCAATGGCATTATTTTGTGAGTGATTTACACTCCATTCTATGATCAGGTTGCATTCTCCCTTCATATTTGAATTCTAATGGTCTAACAGATTTCTTTCTGCTGTTTGTATCAATGCACAACATTCTTTTTCCTGTTTAGCATATAAGCAACTATTGTTTATCCTAACTTTCAAGGACACTTAAATATCTCATCTGAATTATGTCATTTTTTTTAAAAAAGTACTTGTGTGTTAGAAATTTACAACCCTATTTCTGGGGCAGATCATTACTTGTTACCTTTTCTGACAATATTGATTTTTTGGGGGGGAACTGAAAATATGACCATAATATTTCTACTTGCACTAAACAGCTTGTCACTATGGAATTTATTACATGACAATAGCTGAGAGTTCTTGATGGTGGCTTTATAGTTCAGGAGCTCTTCTCTTCACAGAACTACAAGCAACATTTTTTATATAGTGTCACTTGAACTTGTTTCTAGCTTTTTCTTGTTCAGCAATGCTTTGTTTGCATCTCTGTAGGGCTCTCACTTTGATTTCAAAGCATTATACAAATACGATAATGCAATTAGTCTTTCAAGAGCCCTTTTAAGTAGGTCAGTGTAAGTCTCCATTTGACTGGGGAGGAAGGGCGGAACTGAAGCGCAGTGAGGTTAAGAGACTTGCCCAGTCCTGTGTGTTAACTGTACCATGTTTTCTAAGATATTAATATGACAAGTAAACCCATGAGATTATTCAGCAGGAAATGGAAACTAGCAGTCAACTTTCAGAGTAACAGCCATGTTAGTCTATATTTGCAAAAAGAAAAGGAGTACTTGTGGCACCTTAGAGACTAACCAATTTATTTGAGCATGAGCTTTCGTGAGCTACAGCTCACTTCATCGGATGCATACCGTGGAAACTGCAGCAGACTTTATATACACACAGAGAATATGAAACAATACCTCCTCCCACCCCACTGTCCTGCTGGCAGTTTCCACGGTATGCATCCGATGAAGTGAGCTGTAGCTCACGAAAGCTCATGCTCAAATAAATTGGTTAGTCTCTTAGCAGTCAACTGTTTATTGAAATGCTCTTTGAGGGGGAAAAAAACCTTCATATAATCTCTCATCACCCCCAAACACACACACACACACACACACACACGCCCAAAAAAAGGGGAGGGAAAGGAGAAAAGGATCCTACTTGATACAGTAAAAGTATAAAAATTGCATTGTACTATTTTATTTTTATGCTTTATCTCTAGCACCAGTTGACAAAAATATATATTTTAACAGTGAAACTGAAAGGAAATTCTTCATGCCAAATACTGGTAAAACAAGTTTGCTTGTTACTCCTCAATAGTCCACTTGCACTACCTTGATTTCTCCCAACTCTCTCACCACAATATTGCCTTTTGAGAAAAAGTCCAAGTCTTATTTGGTTTGGCATTTTTGGAAGTCAAAAACTGCACTTTAGGAATGTTATTACGTGCTTTGATAGTTGCAGCCACACTTGTGTAGTAAAAGCAGGTCATGAGTCCATTGTATCTAGGACAACTTGATGACTCTTCCATCACTGTCCTGCTGGATGAGGACAGAGAGTTATCATAGAATCGTAGGACTGGAAGGGACCTCAAGAGGTCATGGAGTCCAGTCCCCTGCACTCATGGCAAGACTAAGTATTATCTAGACCATCTGTGACAGGTGTTTATGTAACCTGCTCTTAAGTTCCAGTGATGGAGATTCCACAACCTCCCTCGGCAATGTATTCAAGAACTTAACTACCCTGACAGAAAGTTTTTTCTAATGTCCAACCTAAACCGCTTTTGCTGCAATTTAAGCCCGTTGCTTCTTGTCCGTCCTCAGAGGTTGCGAACAATTTTTCTCCCTCCTCCTTGTAACAACCTTCTATGTACTTGAAAACTTATCAGGTTCCCTGTCAGTCTTCTCCAAACTAAACAAACGTAATTTTTTCAATCTTCCCTCATACGTCATGTTTTCTATATCTTTAATCATTTTTGTTGCTCTTCTCTGGACTTTCTCCAGTTTGTCCACATCTTTCCTGAAACGGGCGCCCAGAACTGGACACAATACTCCAGTTGAAGCCTAATTAGCGCTTAGTAGAGCAGAAGAATTACTTCTTGTGTCTTGCTTATAATACTCTTGCTAATACAGCCCAGAAGAATGTTTGCTGCTTTTTTTTCTTCTTTTCAAGAGTGTTACACTGTTGACTCATATTTAGCTTGCGATCCACTATGTCCTCCAAATCCCTTTTTGCAGTACTCTTTCCTAGGCAGTCATTTCCCATTTTGTATGTATGCAATTGATTGTTCCTTCCTAAGTGGAGTACTTTGCATTTGTCGTTGAATTTCATACCATTTCTCCAGTTTGTCCAGATAATTTTGAATTTTAATTAGGGCTGTCGATTAATTGCAGTTAACTCACAAAAATTAATCGCAATTAAAAAAAATCATGAATTAATCACATTTTTAATCGCACTGCTAAACAATAGAATACCAATTGAAAATTATTAAATATTTTTAGATGTTTTTCCAAATTTTCAAATATATTGATTTCAATTACAACACAATACAAAGTGCTGTATTATATTTTTATTACAAATATTTGCACTGTAAAAATGATAAAAGAAATATATTTTTCCATTCACTTCATACAAGTACCGTAATGCAGTCTCTTTATCATGAAAGTGCAGTTTACAAATGTAGGTTTTTTTGTTGCATAGCTGCACTCAAAAACAAAACAATGTAAAACTTTAGACCCTACAAGTCCACTCAGTCCTACTTCTTATTCTGCCAATCATTACGACAAACCAGTTCGTTTACATTTACGGGAGATAATGCTGCCGGCTTATTTACAATGTCACCTGAAATTGAGAACAGGTATTTGTATGGCACTTCTGTAGCCGGCGTTGCAAGCTATTTATGTGCCAGATGTGCTAAATATTCATATGTCCCTTTATGCTTCTGCCACCATACCAGACAACATGCTTCCATGCTGATGATGCTCGTTAAAAACATAATGCATTAATTAAATTTCTGACTGAACTCCTTGTGGGAGAATTGTATGTCTCCTGTTCTGTTTTACCCGCATTCTGCCATATATTTCATGTTATAGCAGTCTCAGATGATGACCCAGCACATGTTTGTTTTAAGAACACTTTCACTGCAGATCTGACAAAATGCAAAGAAGGCACCAATGTGAGATTTCTAAAGTTAGCTACAGCACTTGACCCAAGGTTTAAGAATCTGAAGTGCCTTCCAAAATCTGAGAGGGATGAGGTATGGAGCATGCTTTCAGAAGTCTTAAAAGAGCAACACTCAGATGTGGAAACTACAGAATCCGAACCACTGAAAAAGAAAATCAACCTTCTGCTGCTGGCATCTGACTCAGATGATGAAAGTGAACATGGTTGGTCTGTACTGCTTTGGGTCATTATTGAGCAGAATCCATCATCAGCATGGATACATGTCCTCTGGAATGGTGGATGAAGCATGAATGTACAAATCTTTAGTGCATGTGGCACGTAAAGATCTTGCGATGTGGGCTACAACAATGCCATGCGAACGCCTGTTCTCACTTTCAGGTGACATTTGTAAACAAGAAGCGGGCAGCATTATCTCCTGCAAATTGTAATCAACCTTGTTTGTCTGAGTGATTGGCTGACCAAGAAGTAGGACTGAATGGACTTATAGGCTCTAAAGTTTTTCACTGTTTTATTTTTGAATGCAGGGTTTTTACATAATTCTACATTTGTAAGTTCAATTTTCATGATAAAGAGATTGCACTACAGTACTTGTATGAGGTGAATTGAAAAATACTATATTTTGTTTTTTACAGTGCAAATACTTGTAATCAAAAATAAACATAAAGTGAGCCCTGTTGACTTGTTCTGTGTTGTAATTGAAATCAGTATATTTCAAAATGTAGAAATCATCCAAAATATTTAAATAAATGGTATTCTATTATAGTTTAACAGTGCAACTAATTTTTTTAGTCACTTGCCAGCCCTAATTTTAATCCTATCCTCCAAAGCACTTGCAACCCCTTCCAGCTTTGTATCATCTGAAAACTTGATAAGTGTACTCTCTATGCCATTATCTAAATCATTGATGAAGATATTGAACAGAATCAGACCCAGAGCTGATCCCTGCGGGACCCCACTCAATATGCTCTTCCAGCTTTACTGTGAACCACTGATAACTATTCTTTGGGAACGGTTTTCCAACCAATTATGCACCCTTTTTAGTAGCTCCATCTAGGTTGCATTGTCCTAAAACAAATATCCAGTCTGAGACAAAATTGCAATGTAGCAAATAAGCAAAAAAAACCCCACACTGCTCC